AATGCCGAGTCACAAAAACGCTGTGAGGAGTTGGCCCTTTTTTATTTCCTCATCTGCAAGGCTGCAGGGAGCTGTGCTGCTTGTGTGACGCTGTGGAGCAGCGCGATGCCCGCTCCTTTAATGCGGGGTGGGGGGAGAGGAGCGCTGGGCTTTTAGGTGCTGACTAAAGACTTTTCTAAGCATATTCACCACTTACAAGGTTGACTGGAGATATTCGTACCCATTTCTTTAATAAAAGATGGTATCTCTGCTAAAACTTGGGGTATTTGAAGGCAGTTGGTAGCAAAAGAGCGATTTGTGTCTTTTGGGCTGAAATTAGGATTATTGTAGTAGAAGGAAGCTGCAGTGCTGCTTTTGAAACAGTACTGACAGTCAATTTTTGTGTCCCTTGGGTACTGTGAAGCTTCTTCACATTCTTCAAACTCAGCAGCAAGGACTACCTCTGCTTTTTAATGAAGAACACATACTTTTTCTCCAAATGAGTTTTCCTTTTTGGTTCTCCAGTACATGAGAAGGGGACAAAGAGGCTGGTGTTTTGCATCATGAGCAAAGCCCAGTGTCTGTTTCAGAGAACAGTAAAACGTGCTGCCCTTTTTCCCCACATGGTGTTAAAACAGAATTTGTCCAGTTGGGAGCTGCCTCCCACAGCATAGTCCATCCAAACCCCTCCAGCCCTCGTGCTTCAGACATTGCAAACGCGGTGGGAATCACCAAGTGTCCCGCTGGCAAAAGCAGCAAAAGTCTGGCTGATACTGCTAATAATTAAAAAATATTTACCCCCAACTTGGCATTAGCATGGAAATTGTAATAGCTTGTTTGCAAGCAGCCTAATCGCTGTTTAGCATAGCTGGAGAGCACTGTATGTGAGAAGCACATATAGCTGCTGTGTCTGGAGCTCTGCCTACGCAAGGATTGAAAGCAAGGCTGGTGGAGCTGCTGGCTTTCATCTCCCCACCTTGATCTTGGTTGGGTGCCTTGCTGGCTTCTGTGTTGGCTGTGTAATTAAGCACGGAAGGGCGGTTGAGGCAGACGTGGTTAACTTGCCGAGCAATAGAATGTCAAGTCAGTGGTACTGAGTTGTTCTGTAGGAGTTTAAAAATTAATTTTGTTGTTAAATGTCACCTTCTGGCTTGTGATCAGCCATGGCATAGGTCATATTCCTTCTGATAAATTAGAAGGGAATCAAATAAAGGATCCTGAACGCTGAGATCTGTGAAACCGAAGTCGGTTGAAGTCTAGCGTTGATGTTTCTGGAGTCACAAATTGGTGAGGGGAGGAAAAAAAGGAAAAGATGAAATCTGCATTATTCATCTAGCAGAGACGTGGTGCTCACACTCAGCACCTTCCCAAGCTGAGAGAATGGCTCTTCCTTTCTCCCCTGCAGTGAAAGCCAGGAGAACGTAAGCAAGTGCTGGAGAGATGGATTAATGGAGGGGACCCTCCTCTGCTGAAAGGCTTGGAGAAAGCTCTGCAGGTGCCTCACAGCAGTGTTTGTAAGGGTTTTGAAGGGGCTTAGGACAAGGAGAACTTTCTGGGACCTGGGAAGGTGAGGTCTGGAGATCTCCATGAACCTTCCCTTGCTGAATCCACCTCTACAGGGCTTGGAGCAGAGAAGAGCCACAATGAGACTTAGTTTCTGCAAGATTTTTCTCTCCTGGTTTGTAAACCATCAGGTCCCTTTGTAGCAGTCATGGCACCGCTCCTACATATGCTTCTTTTGAAGCACACACTTGTACCTTAGCTCAGTCCTGTGCAGATGTTTGATTAATCAGAAAACGTCACTGCAGCAGCCAAATTCTCTGGATTATTCAGACATCCAAGCTGGAAGTGCCTGTGAAGAACACCTTAATATTTGTTCTTGCTGAAATCACCCCTGTGGAGACCTGCAGACCTAGCTTGGTTTCAAGTTAATTATCCTGCCTTTTCAAGTCCAGCTCTACAAACTCCATCTCCCTGCAAGGTAAAACTAGGAGGGCGAGATATAAAGACTCCTTCCAGAGGCTGTCCAAGGAATAGCACATAGGGAAAATGTTGGCTTACTGATGGAGACAGTCGTGGGGAAAGCAGATATTCCAGTGCATTAGGATTTCTTCTTCATGAGCGCTTCCTGCAACGTTCATTTTTTCTTATAGTGCCTTTTTATGCCCTTGCCCTGAATGAAGCTTTCTGCTGCACAGTCGTGTTTTCATCTCCCTCTCTTTTTTTTGTTTGTTCCCTTCCAGTTTGAGCGGCACGACCCCGTGGAGGGGCGGATCACGGAGCGGCAGTTCGGCAGCATGCTGCTGGCCTACAGCGGGGTGCAGTCCAAGAAGCTCACCGTCATGCTGAAGCAGCTCAAGAAGCACTTCCAGGATGGAGAGGTCAGTGGCGTTGGTGGCAAACGTAGGAAGTTGTGGTGCGGGCAGTCATCCTACACTGTGCAATCTCCATCTTCTTAAGAAAAGCACCTCCACCTTGTTAAGCAGTGCGGGGAGGCGCGCTGACTTTGCAGGTGATAAATACTTTGCCAGCAGCAAAGAGGTGGGAGTGCAGTGGTCAGTGTCCAGATCAGGGTGTAGGCTTGTCCCTATTAAAATGGATGCTGTAATTTTCAAAATTTAATTTCACTGAACGGCACCCTGGGTCTGGAGCCAGAATAAACATTGAAGACTTGTTCCTATAGGTACTGGCTTGACCTTGGATTAATTGGCTGCTGTGACTGGGCAATTTATTCTTTAGTTATGAACTTACGTGACAAATTATTTGAATTACTCATGATTTAGAGAGGAATAAGGTTGCAGGTCCTACTCTCGTTAATTTAGTGAGAGACCTTGGAATAAGACATCCGTACCAAAAGGACGTGCTTTATCAGGTAAGGCAAGTATGGGCTGCTAAATTACTTCAGAATTAGAATTTCATGCCTACTTCTATAAAGATGGATTATTCCTTTATTAACTAGGTTATAAACAAGTGATTCGTCAAAATGAGAATGGATGGGGTGTCTTTGGGTGCATTTTGGGTTGGTCTGACTGTTTTGGAGCCACTTCCTCCTGATATCAGAACCGGCATTTATTTCTTAACTGGCTTAGATGCAAAGTGTGTTATTAACCACAAGTGTTGGTCAGGGAATAGTCCTTTTTTATCCCTTTTTGGTGTCTTAACTGAACTCCTGTGATGTGCAGGAATCCTCAGTTCATGTGAAGCCACTCCAGTGGCTCTTTTCCCTCCATTTACTCTCTCTTTCTGTGGTGCTGGAGGAGAATTTGGGCATACTGAAGCAACAGGGCACAGACAAATATGTCTCTATTAACTGCAGATAATGCCAAAACGTTAAAAACTGGAGGAAACCACAGGGGAACCAAAAGGCCGTGCTCAGAATCGTGTTCCTCCCAGAGGAGCTGCAGTACCTGTAGATTCCCTCATGTTCTGCAGGAAAACAGGCTCAGTATTTAACTGGCTGTTATCAGTGGATGGTGTCAATGTCATTGGAGCTGAGCTGCAGTACGCGTTAATATTCGGAAATCTCACCTCAAGCTCTTTGCCAGCTTAAAGAAGACCATCGATGTTTCCAAAGTTGTCTCCATTTCTTCGATCTTTGAGTGAGAAGCTGCAGATTTGGCTTTTCCAATACCTCTGCTCCCCTTGAGTTTTAACAGGAATCATTTGATTTCTTGTGGAAAAAAATACTTCACTGTGATATGTGTCTAATAGAAAAGATCAGCTCTGTTGTTAACCCTCCCAAACTACTGATTCTTTTGATGTGATTTGGGGTGTCTTATACATATACACACGCACCCCCTCACCCTGACATGTATTGAACAGTAGTTGGGAGTATGAGAAAACAGGCAGAGGGAGGTATTTTGGAAGGTTTCTTACGGCAGATGCTTTCTTCCTTTCATGTGTAAGCCAAGACCCTGACATCTGTGGCAGGGGAAGAACTTTTTGGTTTTACCTTGTTCTTCATCCTCAAATCAGCCAGACCGTGTTTCTATTGGCAGATAACTGGACTCAGAACAAGTCATTTTCTTTCCTTATTCAAAGGACTTTCAAGGAGAGAAATTGGGGAATACCACAAACAATTACATTTGCAAGAAACAGAATTGGTGGAAAACACAATTCCTTAGGCCAGGGGGAATGAAACACCCCAAATCCTAAAACTAGACAGCCTCTATATTAACAAGTACAAGGTATTTAATGTTTTAGGGAGATGGAAGGGAGGCAAGAAGTGCCAGCTGCTTTGCACTGGAGGCAGATGAACCGTTTTAGCAGCTCAGAGTCAGTGCTTATGCAGAACTAAAGAAATCGGGCACAGAAACCTTTCACTTCAGCAGGTTTTAGCTCTCGGAGAATCCAGCCTGAGGCCTAACTTTGCAATGTCTATTCTATAGGAGAGCCTATTCTTGAGTGTTCGTGTTGGGTTGGTTTTTTTCCCTACCCTGTGGTATTTTAGAAGACTGTATCGTTTGCAGATTTGTGTGCAGCACTTTGTATCTAAACACACTTTATTGGACTATCCTGGTGCAGCTGTCTGTTTTGACGTAGCTTAACTTTCCCCATCTCCTTGGCAATAGGACTCCCATGACCAGAATCACGCAAACCACCCCTCGAGCTTTCTGGAGAACTTATTCAGGGATGCACCTTGAGTCCTGTGTTCAGTTCTGGGCCCCTCACTAGAAGAAGGATGTGGAGATTCTGGAGCGTGTTCAGAGAAGAGCCACAAGGATGGGGAGGGCTCTGGAGAACAAGCCTGATGAGGAGCGGCTGAGGGAACTGGGCTTGTTTAGCCTGGAGAAGAGAAGGCTGAGGGGAGACCTCATCACCACCTACAACTGCCTCAAGGGAGGTTGTGGAGAGGTGGGTGCTGGTCTCTTCTCCCAGGTGATGGGGGATAGAACAAGGGGAAACAGCACCAAGCTGTGCCAAGGGAGGTTCAGGTTAGAGCTAAGGAGGAAGTTCTTTCCTGAGAGGGTCGTCAGAAGCTGGCACAGGCTGCCCAGGGAGGTGGTGGAGTCACCATCCCTGGATGTGTTTAAAGAGCGGGTAGATGAGGTACTTAAGGATATGGTTTAGGGGGTAGACAGGAGCGGTTGGACATGATGATCTCGGAGGGCTTTTCCAACCGAGCGATTCTGTGATTCTGTGAAAGTTTTCCTGGTAAATGAATTGAGTATGAAGCCAGAGAGCGTTCTCTCACGTGAAACTGCAGAAGCTTGATGCCACCAGCGTTGCTGCACCCTCTGTGTTTGTAACCCAGGTGTCTGCAGAGCAAGCAGCTGCTTCGGTCAGGCTCTGCTCTCCTTCCACCCTGTAAAAAGGGAGTGGAGCGGTGCTATCCACTGCTCTCCCTTGGGCTCCCAGACCTCACAGAGACATTAAAGCCACTCAGCCACTTCATTTATTCTGCAATACTCTCAGTCACTGCACACCTTGCTAGAGCAGTTTACGATGCAAACACGTTTTGCAGGAAGAATTTTTCTCCAAATCCCTTCTTTTCACACTTCACTAGCCTACTTTTATAGCAGCACAGTACCATTATCTGCAGTTACTAAGCTGCTGTAACTCCCCTCTATGCCAAAAGCAGTAGGGGCTTTGACTTGCTATTGCTTTTCAAAGAAAGAGGGAGTAAAATAAAATTAAAATTGGAAATACAATTTACCTTGTGAGTGATTCCTAATGAAATCTGCCAAACATCATCTTCACTGTCTGATGCAATTACCTTTTCTGCACAAGGCAGCCTCCAGAATGTTAAAGCTCTGGTTTTAATCTAACTTTTAGCCTTTTTCCAACACTTACTCTATGTTCCTGCTTCGGGGATGGCACGTTTTCTTGTATTAATTGAGAATCCGCTCTCATTCTTATTTTTCTTAAGAAAAAAAAAATCTCATCTCGCCCTGGATGTGTGAACTCCTCTGCATATTCAGCAGAGCTGCCACACTCTTCTTTATTTAAAATTGCATGCTGTCCTCCCCCTTGAGTTTCACCTACGCAGCTGCTTTTCTCCTAGTTAAAAGGACTCGAGCTGTTGGGAGTATTTGCAAGCAAGATAGTTGGTTTATGTCCCCCTAACCGCTAGAAAACCAAGCTGACTCTTCAGAAACAGTGACTGAAGTCATCATCTACACATGCTCTGGGGGCTACGAGCATATTTTTCTGTAGAGATGGCAGAGGGTGGGAGTGAAATGCAGTTCCCCCTGGCTGAATCATGGGTTCCCAGGTGGAAACCCTGACTTCTGCAGAAGGTGTTTGAGCTGTCATAAGGTGTTGCAAGCAGATGTGCATATCTGGAGTCCGCCTGCTTGTGAAATGATGAAAGGGTTCGGGCTTAGGAATTAAGAGCTCCATCGACAGATGCCTTGAAAGAAGCGATCGTCCAGATCCCGTAAGCACTGCCCTGGTGCTCTCCAGATATGCAGTTTCTTGTGATTCCAAATCGACACAAGCCTTTATTATGTAACAGAAACATCTCTTGGTCTTTCAGTGGAGATGTGGATAGCTTACGAAGAGCTGAGCACCGGGAACAGATAAATTCCCATACCCAGACTTCTGGCTGATGAAGGTGATAATTCATCTGCCGACTTGGTGGTGCAATCCTGAGGCTGACCCAGTCTTTGATTTGATTTTATTTTTGTAACTGGAAAGAAATCAACTCTGATGCCAGCCTCTACTACAGGATTCATCAATAAAGTACTACATTTCATAATACCAATGGCATTTCTGCTACAGAGATTCAGTATCTCCTGTCCATGTGAAAGCCCAGATTTGTAGGTTACCCTGTACATTGTTGCTTTTGCATTTTCAGCTGGTGAAAGGACCACAGCTTCATGCATATAAGTGTGTAAACCTTCCCTGTTACCCACTGGAGCAATAGCAACTGCAGTGTTGGTACTAAACAAGGGGCTGTTTTGCACGGACAGCAGTGCTCTTTGGCCTTGACATCTGCCATTTTGTGGTGGAAGATTCCAGGAAAATGCCAACTTTAGGGCTCTTTGCTTATGAACAGCTGCTGGGGTGCCTTGTGGCCATTACTGCCAACATCAAATGTGCCAAACAGAGCAGATAAACCACAGCATGGTGTCTTCTGCTGGCCTGAAAGTGGCTGCGTGCCTCCTGGTTCCTCCAGGCTTCCCACACTTTTAGTTCTGTTCCCAGGCAGGAGCATGTCAATCAGAAAATGCAGAGCAGGGAGTCATCCAGATGGGTGTCTGAACTGCTAGGTCTGTTGTACAAAACGGAGGAATCCTGCAGAAGTACCTGATTTATTTAGGTTTTTTGCTAGGACAGTATCTTTTTTAATTCTGCCATACATCTTTTTGCATGCCACTTGGGAAGTGGAGCAGGTACACATTGAAATAAAGCCCCCTGTACTGTAACTGGGGATTTC